CATTAATTTAACATGAAAAAAGGGCAGAAGTTTATACCTGTCATGTAAAGCTGAAGAAACATTGAACCTGGTTGACATTAGTAGTTTAACGTCGCTTTGTTCGGTGATGCCTCAGCCTTCCCTTGACGTAGACAGTGTAGAGTCAAACCACAGCCTCTCAGAGACTATACGCAAGATTTTCGATGCTCCGGCGCCAAAAACTAACGCGAAAATTTTGTTGTGGCACCCCCGGATATTTCGTCACTCGGCTCGAGCCACGCCGGGCAAACTCGGCTTGACGGCTGCGTGGACTGTCTCCGTCTACGGCCGTGGCTTGGCAACGGCTGCTCCTCTGCACATGCGCGGATGGGCGAGGTTAAGCCATACCCAGGTGATGCGCTGCTGTGGCTTGATTACCGATAGGCAACGACGCAGAGGGCTTCTTGCGGACACCCGACATTTCATCTCGAGCTATAAGAGTTTTACTCCTAAGAATTTTAATAAAAGTGTGTTCTCGGTGGGTTGATAGTTACAATAGTGTGATTACACACGAAGGACTACCTCATGGACAGCCGTGACTAGCATCACTCGCGCGATCTTTCAGGACTGGCGACCGAGAGGCTCTTCAAGCCAACCTTGTTCATCCCTGCGCGCGACCTATACCATCACCACTCTAGATTCGTCTGCTCGCATTGCCACTGCATCGCGAGATAATTTGAAGTTCCGTCCCTGTGCGACTGCAGTCACGCGAATGAAAAATTGAGCACCGAGCGCGTGAACCACAACGGACGAGTTTCGATCAAAACCGGCCATTTGCGACTAACTTGGTCGTGCGATTAGTGCCATTCGCAGGTGTGAACAAGCCCATGGCTTGTCGCGAACGTGCAATTATGAACCTGCACCACTATCTCGCACAATTTCAAGTCCTTCTTACGTCAGCTTTGTCTGCGTTGTCACGAGAAGAAGAAAAAGAACTTTACAGAGCGAGGGAGCTTTAATTGCATTGTGACCGCATATGTGCCAGCTGTCTCTTTCACATACGAGTAATTCCGTTGTTTCAGGTAGAATTATTTTGATTGATTTCACATTTAAATGCAAGTTTTAATGCTCCACTTCGTTTCCGTCCCCTTCTGCCGCGAGACACTTGCCGATAAAGCGACGCGTCGGTCAGCTTCTTTATCTCAGACGTGGTTGTAGCGGGTAGGACAAGCCTACATGGTCGCTCCCCGTGATAAAACTTCCCACTTCTGCAGATATAAGTCGATGACTTTTTTTAACCTTCGAAAAGAACACGAAATATTAGCGTGTGTCACCGAAGAATGCCGGTCAAAATGCGTTTTCATGTGGCTACAGAATTTTATGGGTCGCAAGGAATTAGTCGAAGCACGTACTTTACCTCTGATTTTATTTCTTAGTTAGTTAACCGATGCAAATGAGCAAAAAGATATATCGAGGAAGCGGGCGTTGTCACAGCCACAGCGGTTGCCTCGTCGTAAATTTAAAGTACAGAACTGTCTCGAGGTCATAGACGAATAGAAGCGACATGTTTTTCGAAGACGTGCTATAAATGAGAACAGAATGCAGACACAAGGGAAATTTTTGATCCCGTGACTTCCTGTGGAAGGACGTCGCCTTCGAACATGCGCCGGTGCATGAACTAGTACTCTGCTAAGCCAGACGATCCTGAATCATGTTGAGACAGCTTGTTCACATGCAAACGTCGAAGCTTGGCACATATTTCTTGCACAACATTATACAAGAAATATTCTGCCGGTTGAACGAGATAAAAAACGTGGGACATCGCAACTGTAAGCGCGTGAGTAGCTAGCGAGATCACGTGCATCATCATCATTTAGCATAGGCATCATCGCCGTTCTGTTGGTGTGTCTTTAAACACTCCCCCTCCCCATCTGTTCCCATGAACAGCCAAACAACGACGATGGCGCAAAGCAGAATAAGACCGCAAGGCTTTCAAATGGCCCTCCCTTTCTCTCTCTCTCTCTCTCTCTCTCTCTTTCTAGATTTTTGAAGCTGTAGGGTTATTTTACATTGCACCAAAATGTCTTGTTTCTAAGCACGTAGTTAATTCACTGTTGTATTCTCTGTAACCATAACAAAACCAAACTATATGCTCTTGATAACCACAATTCGCTCCCGTGTCCTTTCTATGCAGGTTCTTCGCGGCTATCGACAACATTCTGCAGGATTACAGCGGTAGTGGCGGCACGGAACATGCTCCAGGCATGCAGCACCCGCCGATGGCTATGGCAGTGAGCCACGGTGGTGCAGTTAGGGTCAGGGAGCCGTCGTCATCCTCCTCGGACTGCTTGCAGCACTACCACCATCACCACCATCCACGGCCACCCTTCTGGCCGCCGCCGCCTCACACCTCTAGTTATCCCAGCTCGCAGCTACAGTGACGGCGACCTGTCTCAGCCCGGATGTCGCACCGTACCCGTGAATCTCGTCTTTGTCCACCCCTCTTGTCATTCAGCAGCGCCTGTCATATCTGCACCTGAGTAAAGATGCGTTAAGTTTGCTACACGTATGGCGTTTTTGGGACAGTCTTCTGGAGATCATGAACAGCCATGGACATGCGAACAGCGAGTCTCCCCCCCCCCGCCCAGTCACCCAATGGGGAGGCGCCAATCCTGCTTCGTACCTTTACACAGTCTGCTCATTGAATAGCCTGTGTAATGCTGTCCCTCCGTACACCCCCACTGCGCATGCTCGCGTCGCACCGCAGATGTTGGAGCGGTGCCAAGTAGGTCAAGTCGCAGGTGCGCGTTGACTTCACTCTCTGCCTCACGATTAGCAGCTGCTGGCCCTTCCACCCACTCGCAACACACTTCTCTCTTCACTCTCTCCACCACCCGCAACGCTTGGCCGCACGTCGAGTGGAAACACTGGACAGATTTAGTTGTGTGTCCGCAGCAGCCGTATGGTCGCAGCCTGCCAGCCATTCGCAATGGGAGGTTGCGTCCGTACGGCAGCTGTGGATGCGCAACTAAATCTGTCGCTCCATTTTTTTGGCGTCCATTGCGTAGCACATTTTTTTGGACTACCAAAAAATGAGGACAGGGAGGGGAAAGGCTGCGACAAAATTTGCTGCCTCCAAAAGATGCCCACACTTGGGTTTTGCACTGCCTAAGTGATTGGCCCACCAAACGGCTACGCCGTGTGACTTCACATGTGAAACTCTGACGTCACGATGACGTTACAAGTTATTTGTTACGTCATCGCATGAATGCAATATTCGCGTTGCCGCCTCTGACAGTGTTTTATGGCGATTGATGAGGCCGCTGAGGCCATACACTCTGCGCGACATCGCTGCAACCTCGACGTACGCACTGCTCCCGCGTTCTTGCTAGACACGAATCGCAAGCGTGCCCAGCAAGCTTCATTAAAGTACTAGACAAGCTTAAGCGATTTGTCAACCACCCATCTGTCTGGGCCCGCGACAATACCTTACGCGCTTGTTTGCGCTATCAATCAATCTTCAAAGTATTACAATTTTAGTCAAGATATAGCCCCAAAAAGAGTATTAAATTCGGTTTGTCGTTTTTCTTGTTTCTATATCGCATTTAAGCATTACCCACTCCCCTCAAATTAAATAAGAGACAATCACTAATTTTACATAAATGGAAGAGTGGGTTCGGAGTTTTTTTTTTTACTCTTCCTATAAAAACTCAGAAAAAGGTCCGTCATAACTGCTAAGGTGAATTTACCTCCAGTACCATTGTTCAACAGTTTACAACGAAAGTTGAAGTTACCGACACTGGAGAGTCAATTCGTTTGCCGCAAAGTGAGGCATCTTCAAAGCACGCTTACAAGGAGCGCATAGATGTCAACAAAGCAAAGGCAAAGCGCCAAGCCTCATGCATATATACAGCTCATATCGAACCCGGAAACGAGCTCAGGTATTCGGAAACCCGAGACTTAAAAAATACGTAGGAATCTTTGAAGCCGAAGGTCTTCGCATTACACGAATGTGCTGTAGCAGGCATAAAATTCCGACGTGTCCTCTGAAAGCACGAGAGTTTCACTCTGACCGTAAGCCTTTATCATTCGCAACTGCATACTTTCCCTCATATTTCCCTCATATGCGAGTAGTTCAAGCAAGGTATTTTTGTCTACTCTTAGCTAGAACCACATGCGGGGAGTAAAAGCGTAAACGTAAATGAAGTCTAAGCAGTTCTCTCATTACCAGTTTTGAATGCACAATGTCAAAGAACCGTTAAATACTATAATTAAAACCATGCGATGGTAAAAGTCACGGATACTATGACATCTCAGCGCCTTGCTACCCTGCACAATGCCCCGCCGCGGTGGTTTAGTGGCTAAGGTACTCGGCTGCTGACCCGCAGGGCGCGGGTTCGAATCTCGGCTGCGGCGGCTGCATTTCCGATGGAGGCGGAAATGTAGGCCCGTGTGCTCAGATTTGGGTGCACGTTAAAGAACCCCAGGTGGTCTAAATTTCCGGAGCCCTCCACTACGGCGTCTCTCATAATCATATAGTGGTTTTGGGACGTTAGACCCCACATATCAATCAAATTAGCTACCCTGCACTGAAAGGGGGGAAATTTGAAATAAAAGCGATAAGAAATGCGCACACGCACACACTATAGTGCACTCGTAGCGCTTTGGTGGTGAAAGTCAAAGATGTTATAGCATTGGTGTATTTCTGTGTGGCATGTCGGTCGAGTTTGATTGATTGATTGATTGATTGATTGATTGATTGATTGATTGATTGATTGATTGATTGATTGATTGATTGATTGATTGATACCAATACTGCTTCTCTTGGCGACCTTTCGTGTAATCTATTCATGATATTGAGACCCAAATGTAGCGTAGGTGTCACGAAACACTGTACACTGTAAACCGTTAACAGTGGTCGTCGTTTAGCGAGGTGCCGAGCCACTATGCACGAAGTAAAGTTTTCTGATCAAGCTAAATATCGAGGTTGCAGTACAACGAGCACCACGTGCCGACAAGCATATCTAGTAATACAAGAAACATAAAAGGTGAACATGGTTTATTTCACACACACACACGAATGGCGTTGTGCACAATGAGGAAGGCAATGGACTGGCATGCCTCTATATATTATACAATTAATGATTCGTGAGCTAAAAAACACAAACGAAACAAAGTACGTGAACAATAAAATAGAACATATCACACCCTCAACCCTCCACAATCACCCCATATTGCGCACACCAACCTTATCCTACACTACAGCATGTATGAATGTTGTGGCCTTTACATCAAATACGAGCCGATTTTAAAATTTCGCATTTCCGCTATAAAACAAAGGTATTCGAAACGAGGCAGACGATTCTCAGCTACTTGTACTGTACAAGATCTACGCCGTAATCCACTCTTAAAGGCAACTAGTTAATCGTCGCCGCTTACCAGCTGAAGGGGTGACTAAAAGATGTGTGGATTGTACACACCGTATTGTGCGGTCTCGTCACGAGAGACAATTTTGACGCTATCATGATGAGCATTCGCAGACCAGGATTGCAATTAAGGCGTTCCAATTAAGAGTGGAGTACATGATACCTTCCACTGGTGGTTTTGTGCGCAATCACGTGATCGCAGTGACGCAGTATAAATGCTCTCGCCAGGATTTCGGAGCTGGTTAAAGCGTGGAAGTGTGCGTTGCATGCCGCCAGCGGCTCCCCACTTCGAATCGAGCAACTTTCCCGACGTGCCTCCTCGACGCAACTGGACCATCCGACTGGCCAGCCTCCGCAGTCAGGGACATCCAGAAGAAACGCGAGGCTTTCACCGTCACTGCTGCCCATCTATTTACATGCGGCACAGCAACAGACGCTGCTGTGCTCTTCTTTCTAAAATACCTGTAAATAGAAAGATGAACAGGTTAAGCTTAGAACTGAAGATTGATATGTGGAGTTTAACGTCCCAAAACCACTATATGATTATGAGAGACTCCGTAGTGGAGGGCTCCGGAAATTCAGACCACCTGGGGTTCTTTAACGTGCACCCAAATCTGAGCACACGGGCCTACAACATCTACGCCTCCATCGGAAATGCAGCCGCCGCAGCCGGGATTCGAACCCGCGCCCTGCGGGTCAGCAGCCGAGTACCTTAGCCACTAGACCACCGCGGCGGGGCAGCTTAGAACTGAAGAAAGTTGAGCTAGTTGGCAGGGATGCATCATGAAAAACGTAAAGAGGCGAACAAGGGCACAATAGAAAAATCTCGCGACTCTCTGCAACACTTGAGAAACGAACGCTTTCTGTACACCTGACATGGTGACACAATAAAGGGACCCTAAAGGGCAAAACGATTTTTCGCGTATTCGTACAATCCTCGAAACTCCGCTCTTACCACGACATGACGCTTGGTAAGCGGGCAAACGCGCGACAACATAATGCGAGTACAGACGCCACCACGAGAATTCCGGACCGAATACCATGACGTAGTAAAATTTGAAGGCGTATACTGGGTCCTACTTAGCTTCTAGACAATAGAAATGAAGTACATTGTTATCTGTGGGAGCTATAGACGTATATCATACGAAGTTTCGGAGAATTTTATCCAGCCAGTGTCGCGAAATTACGAAAAATACTCTTTGAATTATGTTACGTCATGCGCGGAGATTTTGGGGCGCACAAAAAAAAAACTTCAACCTCACTTTTCCCGGCTAATATTGAGCTTACGACAGTAAAACTTGTGACATTAGAGCTCTCAGAGTGCTCAGAGCGCTCATCGACTTAAATCAAATCATAGCTTCTCTTTAGTGTCCATTTAAAAGGGCCCTGTAACACTTCAAGCAATCATCGATGGTTTTATGAAACGAGTTTGTTGCTTCCAGAGTCAACAGTAGCAAAATTTCTAGAATACGCCGAGTACGAGTGGTGTTACAGGCATTTGCCGTGTTCCGGCCTCACCTTTCATACTAGCCAACGCGCTGGCACATACACGAGGAGTGGTGCGAGTTGAGGATGACAAGGGGTCAAGGAGCTACCTCCCTTTCTCAGCACAGTTGAGTATTTTTAGGAGCGAAACTCCTAACGCTGCGGCTCAATCCCTCCGTTTTAGTAGCCACCCCTTATTTCTCACAATGTGCACTAGATGGCGCTGTGCTGTTGCAGCACGTGAAATGATCACTATATGGCGTGGAGGCGTGCGTTGTGTATGGTCTAGATAGATAAAGCTTGATAGAATGGTGGACAAACAGACAGACTGACAACTGAGCGGAGAGCTTCGCCCCACTCATAATTCATTCCGGGGAAATGCTGTGAATTTTTTTTCTTCAAAGGAGCGGCATACCTTCAGTGTGATCGTGCACGTGTGAACGAGCGAGGACGTGGCGGCACCCCGCGGCGGCCGCAGTAACTATGCAGATCACCATGCTCAAATCAGCCAATGATGCATGAACGTTGTATTGGACATTTGGGGTTATGACGTCGATTTCAGAGAGATGAGGGAGTGGGTTCTAGCTGACTGAGAATTCATTGTAATTTCTAGGCCACGTGCTACGCTCCGAATTTCGCTCACATGTTGTCACAATAATATTCATCAAATCTTCCTGTACTGAAGCGTCAGCAGGAACTGATGCATTGTTCAACACCAACAATTCTAATCTCGCATTCTGCGCTTAACCGAGCAGTACTTCGTCCAGCGGAAGCGGCGACAATCAAGGTGGAGGCTTTGCAGTCTCTCATACTGCCGGGCTAGCTCCACCCGTAGATAGCACCCAAACAACTCGACAAATATAGGCGCTCACCCTTTTGCATCCACCTCAGATTCGCGACGTCTCGTCATCTTCCTCGCGCAATATGGCGGGCCGCACACTGGCTCGTGACACCCGCCGCCTGGGTTCGGCAACGGGCGACACCGAGAAGCGCGTTGGCCAGTAGCTGGTGCGCTGCACCGACGACCGGCGCCTGGAGAGCGCGTGTGGCTGCGCGGGCGTCACACTAGATGGCGGGCTCAGAGCGTCCCGAACAGGGCTCGGGTTGTCCTGCGAAGGCGAAAAACAAGAGAATCATGACAACTCAGTCTGACTGAATGAATAATGATAATTCTCGGGGTTTCACGTCCCAGAACCACGATATATGATTACGAGAGACGCCACAGTGAGGGATTCCAGAGATTTCGACCACCTTGGCGTATTACTATAGCAATTTCGCCTCCTCAGAGAATGCAGTCGCCACTGTCGGGATTTCATCCCGTGACCTGCGGGTCGAAAGTCGGGCCTCATGGCCGCTACACCACCTTGGCGCGTAAGCTTCAAACAATGCTGCACCACCAGATAACCAATAAGCCGAGACTATATATCGTTAAGCAAACAGGCAACGACTGAAACGTGCGCGTTCGGCCTTGTTTGTTTATGACATTAAGGAAAAAACGGAGCAAATCGACGGGGTTAATGGTGTCGAACTTGAGAGAAACAGCGCACAGTAACAGGACACAAGGGGCAACATTAACCCACGCTAGGAATGTGCAAGCAGATGCAGTAGTTGAAATCGGTAAAATACGGGCATGGCCATGGGAGGGGGTGTCGGAGTGGTCTGAACTTCCACGAAATTCTTTAATTTTGCTTTCGTGTATATAGACACGCATATACAAACGCTTGCGCAAACATGCATTAGACAGCAAAGTCCCGTCGGAGAAAATAATGGAAGAGATCAACGACGACTGTTTACAAATAGTTTTGAAAGCTCTACAGCATATAGCCTTACCAGGAAGGCCCACATGATCACACTCTTAATATTAATATCTGAAAAGACGCAGCTGCTACATAGCGACAGATTAGCATGCAATTTGTTTATACTAAATATGGCCACCGGACAGCTAGCACTGTATCGAGCTAAGCTACATCATCTTAATAAAACGGCAGTCTCAAAATCTTGTAAGGGTAAATGCTCATCTGTAAGCCATACGCGAAAAGATAATTAAATTAAATCGAGTTTATTCATCTTTCGAAGGAAGGAAAGACAGTAGCTATCACAAAAAGCTACTACAGTGAGTAGCTTGACGAGGCCCCTTCTGGGTCTGTCGCCTCGTCAAAATACTGTGTGCACCAACATGGTGTGTGTAGCAACAGATTCGCCCAAATATTTACACCATTTTGCCTTGCACTGCTGGGTTCTATACTATGGCCCAAGAGCGTAGGCAGAAATGTTTTCAGTAGGAGGGGCACCTCGATCTCGGAGGGTTGGGGGGGTGGGGTTCACGGACTAGTGTCCAACTACTTCGCTACGCAATAGCTATGGCCGCAAATAACGATCACCTTTGGTAATTGTAAACAGGGGTCTCAAGTGCACGAAGCAAATCCAGTGAAGTGGAGAGAAGGGTGTTTATATAAACAATCCAAGAAAACTTCATTGGGTACGACACCGCCGCTGCGCAATCCAAGAAACTGATATGTTTAATTCAATAAACTCCCTTTGACTTGCAGTATGTATTGATTCACATGCACATCGAGAAAAAAAGTGAACCTTTTCCGATAAATCCAAGTCGCTCCACACAAATGGGTGCAAATATTTTGTTATTTTGCAACGATTCCGTGTATCAAAGCGCGGTAAAAAAAAAAAAAAAACGTTTGCAGGAGTCTCAAGCTCGGATGCGAATGGCCTCCGTTATGCGGGTGCGGCCAGAGGACACGTCAGATGCTTGCAACATCTGCAGAGAGGCATGGCCGAGGAATAGTTTCATTCAAGGATGGCATGTCGCGGCCTCACCCGAGTCAAGGCCCTGTACTCACGTATGCGTAACACCGAGGTTCTTGCTGCTGCGTCCTTCGAAGTTGTGCAGCATGTTGGACACAAGCTGGCTGTTCCGGCGCCACCGCAGGCCGGACTCCGGGTCAGCCGGATCGGCACAGGGCTGAAGGCCACCGCCCGGCAAGGTGTGCATCGTGAGACGACGGGCCAGACTCTGCGCAGGACAACATTCCTCGTTCAGCTTTTTTTCTACGGCACAAGATACACACAAAACACGTAGACGTAGACCACTTTTCGATCGAGATGGAAGATTTTCCCAGAACTTTCCCTTTTCCATCGAGGACAAGTGCAAGTCTGCACTTGTCCGTCAGTGATTGGGCTGCTGTAAGCTAAGTGGAATACCTTAATGAACTAAACTGAACATCTCTTCTTGAGTGCAGTGGTTGCAAAGAGGTGAAACATCATCCGCTAATGCGAGAGTTATTGGGTTCGTTGCTTAAAACTGCCGGGCCACCACCCGTTCTCCCTAACGAGAAGAGAGGTACCCCGACCTGGCACTCTTTAGTGTATGGGTACTCGTGTCACAAAGTGAACTCTCCTATCCGTTCTCTGATCTTCCTACCCGGGATCGAGCCTAAGCAACTACTATTCCACGATTATAAAATGCCTACTTACTGCCGGTTGGTTGGCCAAATGCCTTGTGACCGTCTGATAGACCTCGTCATCCTCAGCATCCTGAGAGAAAAAAAAAAAACAATGCAGTAAATAATATTTAGTATTTGCATAGTTATGATACACGCCTTAACATGCAGCCACAGAGGTTGCAAAGCTTGTTTCATGCAAAATTGTCTTGGTTTCATACTTCCCCAGTGATCTAACTATGCCACATTGACAATACGGGCTTGGTTAGTGTAATTAAAAAGTAATTTGAATGTCATTAGCTACGCCTATTGGGACATTGGTCTTTGCAATCAACGAACACACAAAAAAAAATATTAGCTCCGCGACAACTGTGTGAGTTAAAGTAAAAGTAAAGAAAGGCGTGAACACACACGTCTTTCTTGCACGAGCACCCACCATGAGTATGTCCTGTAACGTTTGCAGCTGGGCCAGCCGTGACTGCGGGTCGTTTGACGACATCAGCTTGGGATCGACGCCGCTTACTTTCTGCGAGTTCACATGTTAAACACCTTACAAACAATGCACACATAAGCACTTCAGTCTTGATTGATTGATATGTGCAGGGTTTAACGTCCCAAAGCCACCATATGATTATGAGAGACGCCGTAGTGGAGGGCTCCGGAAATTTCGACCACCTGGGGTTCTTTAACGTGCACCCAAATCTGAGCACACGGGCCTACAACATTTCCGCTTCCATCGGAAATGCAGCCGCCGCAGCCGGGATTTGAACCGCACTTCAGTCTTCATAAAGTTACACAATCACAGACAAAAAAGTGTTTAAAGAAGAAATAACACATAGCTAAATATAAACAGGAAAATAGAAAAAAATATCGATAGCGAGTTGGTCATCTGAAATCTGAAACTCGGTTTTTAGGAGCTAAGAAACAGCATGAACGCCGATTGCGTATGAAGTTTCTCGTACAACATCGCTGACAGTTATACCATGCATATCCAACTAGCCCAACTTTTGATTCTGTTGCAATCCACTAGTTTGGGTCTGCACATAAGCAACGAGTGTGAAAATACGGCTAGCAATGCAAGTTTGCAGAACCGTAACGCATTAACAACCCACAAACATCACGCCATACCAACCCATAACGCCATAACGAACCCATATCACCAAAAACAAACGACGAAGTTCAGCCCTTCACAGAGTGACCTGCCCAACTCACCGCCCATTCCTGGAGGAATTCCTGTCCCAAGTCATTGGACTCGTGAAGGGTCCTGTTGTAGTCACGTGCAACCTGCGATGAAGTAGTGGAGAGAGCAACGGTAACAAGAACAAATTAGTGTATGTACGGTATCTACAGTACGGCCCACTGTTTTAAAGGGAACACTCGGATGAACAGCGAGTTTGCTCGCCCTCTAAGAGCAAGAGGATAAAGTAACACACTTCATGCACGTCACTAGTCTGTGGAGTCAGTACTCTCAACCACTTGTAGTCTTATGCAAATCAAAGCCACTATGCTTGTGTAAGACAGAAATTGAAACATAATGCGCATACAGGTGCCCGCTTTAACAATGCACGCAAATGTACACACTATGGTATATGTACATATTTCAGGTGACGCTGTAATCTCATTCACAGCACAATATAGAAGCTGTGTGTTACAAAAAAAAAATCAGTAATCCAATCTCAACCACATCTTGAGAAACCATTCACCTAACGAGAAGCAATTTTTCACGAATAAAAATACACAAAAAGAGCACTCAAGCAAGAGATCCGTAGTCTCGCGATTTGAAAGTGAAAAATCCCGCATTGTAGTTGTCAGACTTCAAAAACGCACCTGACGATTTTTGATCTTCACTGCGCACCGACTTGCCATTTCCCTTAATTCAACAGTAAACGCCAATATAACTGTCCAAAAAACACTAAGAAGAAGGAGCAGTAAATGGAAAGAGACACGTTAACCAGCGCATAAATCAAAAGAACCTAACCAATTTACGAAATTTACAAAAAAAAAACAACCTGGAGGATAGCTTTCACTGGCACTGCTATACATATTCTCGTATTGTTGAAACAAGCTATACGGCATCAACGTATTTAGTCGGGCATAACAAGCTCAGGCGGAACGGCCCGGGAGCAAGCATGGATGTTAAAACGAGAAAGCCTCGAAGTACGCGACAGCAGTGATACTGACCTTGATGTCGTGCTTCCAGAAGCGTTGCGTTCGTGGCATGCTAGACTCCGGCGCGATTTCCTTGATCTAAACAGCCAAAAAAGACGAAAAAAGATACACGTGATCTCGATTTGGACGGAAAGTTCAGCAACACCGCAGTAAGCGAGACAATGCGCGTCACAGCCATCTCAAAATTACTCGGGAGAACTTTCAACTTCAACGCCAAGAAAATTAAAGAGACGCGCATGCCCACAGTGACGCTTAAAAGAAGTCCTGGATCAGTCCAGACAAATCACACTTTAATGTCGCGTTTATACGTTGTCGACTAAATGAAAGAATGGGAAACATACGTGTCGCTGCGGTACCCACTCCCCATACATAGACCAAAGAGCGGTATTTAAAGACGCCTAGTTATATGTCCGAACGGAAAGATCACTTATATAAAATTAGAGAATATACCTGTCTATTGAATGTCCTTAAATACTCTTTCTTTCCAAATTCTATTAGTGACTGGAATGCGCTAAAGATACCAATATTCTCTGATTCTAATTTCCTAACAGCCATTGAAACAGCATTTTGAGCTGCTGAAATAACACATATATTTAACGTTGGCTTTGTACTTCTCTTGGTTGTTGATTTTTTCTTTATATGTATAATTACTGCTTTCGTTGTATAATCCTGTGTTTTGCACTTTTGTTCTAATGCTGTACTACAAGTGTTGATTTCTCCTGTATACTGTAATGCACGATTTATTTTCTTTTGATTTTGCTGTTTTGTATTCTATCTTCTACTGTAACCCCCCGACAACAATGCCCAGTGGGCGATGTAGGTACTTGTAATAAATAAATAAATAAATAAATAAATAAATAAATAAATAAATAAATAAATAAATAAATACATGGCAGTTGGACATTAATTTCGAGGTCTTGCACACTGTCTTTGTCACACACTGAACGGCTCAAAATTTTGAAACGCATTCTTTTAAACAGTTTACACAAACTTGAGCAACAAGAAACAATGTCCTAGTGTACGCCATCCGAATTTGGCATATCAAGGGTGCATGAAACATGTGCGCGTTCCTCGTGCAGTCTAAAGAAGTGTCAGCGCTAAACACTAGAATTTCGTGCGGAAACGAAATACTTAAGATAACTTCAGACTCGCCAAGCTTCTGACATTATAAACGACTTTAGAACTGTACAAGTCTACAGCTTCCTAATAAAGCTCAAATAAGTGTAAACAATGCTACACTCCGCTGACTTGCCTTGAGCAGCAGCGTTCCGGCGATGATAATGCAGAGGATGTTGACGACGGTGAGGCAGAAGGAGTTGATGGCCATGACGGCGCACTCCTTGTGCATGTTGGCGTTGTCGAAGTAGTACGCCTGAAAACCCGGGTACGCCACGAAGGCCGGGTACGTCTCCACCGTGCGGTTCTGGTCAGTGCCCGGAATGGGTACGGTCACCTGCACACACCAAAGATACAGTGTGATGATATTCAATGTATAGGTGTTCCTAAAGAGTGCTTCCCTGTGTACACAGAGCGTTGAAAAAAGCACTGAATAGCAGGAATAGCACTGTTTGATCATTCCATGCCAAGTACTCGCTATGTCATCACTGCTATGAAGTTCTTCCATTCATCCATCTATATACTAATGAAAGCTTAATCTTACCGCCATTAATAATAGGCGTATGAGAAATATGAAAATAGGCGTATGAAAATAGGTGTATGAGAAATAACCAGGGCTGAGCCATGTCAGCTACACTACATTGGGGCAGAGCAAAAAAAAAAAATTGAGATACGAGAAAGGCCACTGTTGCTGAAGACATGCAGAGCTACAGTTATGTGTTTGATCTTACAGATACTCAATGAGTCCTGCAGCCTTTAGAAATTACAGCAGCTCTTGCGCTGCTTTTCGCATGTGTGGTACAGTCTCATAGTCCGAATATTTCGTTGATTGATTGATTGACTGATTGATTCATTTGTGGGGTTTAATGTCCCAAAACCACCATATGATTATGAGAGACGCCGTAGTGGAGGGCTCCGGAAATTTGGACCACCTGGGGTTCTTTATCGTGCACCCAGATCTGAGCACACGGACCTACAACCTTTCCGCCTCCATTGGAAATGCAGCCGCCATAGCCGGGATTCGATCCCGCGCCCTGCGGGTCAGCAGCCGAGTACCTTAGCCACTAGAACACTGTGGCGGGGCTGTACACAGAGCGTTGAAAAAAGCACTGAATAACGGGAATAGCACCGTGCTTGATAATTTCATGCAAAGTACTCGCTATGTCATCACTGCTATGATGTTCTTGCATTCATCCATTTATATACTAATGAAAGCTTATAATATTACCGCCATTAATAATAGGCATATGAGAAATACATGAGAAAGACTAACCAGAAAAGTTAACCGGGGCTGAGCCATGTTGGCTACACTACATTGGGGCAGAGCAAAAAAAAAAAAAAAGTGAGATACGAGAAAGGCCACTGTTGCTGCAGGCATGTAAAGCGACAGTTATGTGCTTGATCTTACAGATATTCAATCAGTCCTGTAGCCTTTAGAAATTGCAGCAGCTCTTGCGCTGCTTTTCGCATCTGTAGTACGCAGTCTCATAGTCCGAATATTTGTTGATTGATTGATTGACTGATTGATTGATTGATTTGTGGGGTTTAATGTCCCAAAACCATCATATGATTATGAGAGACGCCGTAGTGGAGGGCTCCGGAAATTTCGACCACCTGGGGTTCTTTAACGTGCACCCAAATCTGGGCACACGGGCCTACAACATTTCTGCCTCAATTGGAAATGCAGCCGCCGCAGCCGAGATTCGATCCCGCGCCCTGCGGGTCAGCAGCCGAGTACCTTAGCCACTAGACCACCACGGCGGGGCGATTTCGTTGACCGTAAGTGCATTTCCGTTTAGACGATTTACAGTTGCACAGAGGCAAAGCCTCTAGGTTACAAAAGACGGGCCGTAACAATGCAGCCGGGCATAAATAGACCCTTTTTTTCATAATCCACGACTGTGCTTCCCTGTGCTGCATATGCGTCCGGCGATGGCACCTGCCGTGTTGATCTCCCATTGTCCGTGGCACATACCCCCTATGGAAGACTGACCAAGAATCGAGTGGTTTTAAAAATTATTGTTCAGATTTAGAATAATAAAGATATAATTGCTTCAAGTGAAGAAAAGCTTGTTGCACGTGCTGGGAGTTGTCCATTATACGCGTTTATACGGGTGCCGAGTGGACATTTTACGTGCCGTATATAGCCAGTGGCGTAGCCAGGGAGTGGCACACCAAACGCGTGTTCCCCTCTTCCTTCCCCCACCCAAAGAAATTTCTGCGTACGCCTTTGGTCATAGCGCAAGCAAACTGCACTTGATTATGTTCTTTACAAAAGGGACTAGCTGAAGGTACTTTGTTTAACTGCTTCAGAGGAGAGCTAACTCTACAATTAAACTAATATTTGTAGCAGTGTACAGAGTTTTACGTCCTAAATCCACCACATGATTATGAGAGACCGTACTGGAGGGCTCCGGAAATTTGGACTATCTGGGTTTCTCTAACGTGCAGTCACATCGGACAGTATACACGGGCCTCTATACCATTTCGCCTTCATCGAAACTCGACCGCCACGGCCGGAATCGAACCCGCGACCTTTGCCTCAGCAGCCGAGCAAGCACCCTAAACACTGCTCCACCGCGGCTAGCAACTTTACAATTATGAAAAGTTGCCGTCGGCTATCGGACAAATCTATCCCTTGGTAACTCTGCGCATAGTGTGCGCTGCGTATAGTGTGCGTTCTTTGTCGCTCCACAAGTGAATCGATAATTATTTTGCCAGTTGAATCAGTCCGAGAGCTCGTGCCGTACATGGCGAATATTCAGGGTCCTCAAACATAGCGTGCGCAGGCATTCTTCTTTCTTATTTCCGGAGTCATGGCGGCGGAAAGAAACCCGCTTGCTTCATTGACGCGAGCATTCAGACACGTGATTCTCAGAGCCCACTTCCTCATGAATGAGATCAAGGATCGTACGCAAGGTATGCGCAACGGAAAACGACGTAGGCTTTCCGCTGACACGTATACCGATATCGGGCCTGGCACAAGCGTGGTGCTGTCGATATAGAAACGCAAACTGCCAGGATGTCATACGCTAAAGGTTACCGTCGGCACAGTTATTGCGTATGTAGTCTAGAAACGTACTTTGGGTGGGGGGGGGGGGGGGGGAGTCTACATAGTTAGACATAATTAAAAAAATCTGTCACTGCGCTAGAGTCGAGACACAAACAATAGACCCGTCTCTCGCATTTGGCGCAGTTGTATTTTTTTTTGCAATTATTGCGTATGCTATTCGTTGACAGTGACATCTTGATTAAAATGTCGTTTCTTTTTGCTTTTGACGTTCTTGTACACTGAAAGACTGACGGTACCTTGTAACTTTCAGTTGATATACGGGCTCATCTGTTATCGGCCTTTATGTGCATAAGCCCGCCATGAAGTACGTCCTCTAAACTCGAGCCTCCACCAACAACGCGTTCCTTTATTTGCCGAATTCGGCTGATTTTGTGATGCGAATAGAAAAAAAAGGGCAAAATTTCTTCCACAAGCAGGGAAGTGAGCACATTGTTTGAAAAGTCGAAGGAATACACACTGCAATAATAGCCTGTTCAGGATCTTGCACAATCAAAAATTTAAAATTTTGAAAACCTAAATATGAAAAAAAAACATGGAAATGTTGATTGATTGATTGATATGTGGGGTTTAACGTCCCAAAACCACTATATGATTATGAGAGACGCCGTAGTGGAGGGCTCCGGAAATTTAGACCACCTGGGGTTCTTTAACGTGCACCCAAATCTGAGCACACGGGCCTACAACATTTCCGCCTCCATCGGAAATGCAGCCGCCAACATGGAAATGTAGGCTACATAAGGACTAACTATCTTATGAACATGTTAGTAGTAGTATTGAAGAAATACTAACAAGCAAAACTACAACGAATGAAATAAAAAAGAGTAAAATAATCTGAAGCACTATGTCGATGTTCGCGCTGGCGGGGCTTCGGCCTTAACGACAACAAAACAAAACGAACACACAATCATCACAACAACGACAACAATAAAATACCCGACACGGCGTTTCACGCGGCAAAACCACGATACAGTTATGAAGCAAGCGTAGAGGAGAGCTCCGAAAATTTCGACCCTCTATAGGGATCTTCACCATGCTCCTACACCTACGTTCTCTTGCATTCCACCCCCATCGCAATTCGGCCATCATTGCTAGTAATCGAACCCTCGCCCGCGAGGTAAGCAGCGCAATGATGACGTTGACGTATATCCTACACAGTACATGTTTTAAAATAGTATTTCTTCATCCGCGAACTTTTATATGATAAAATTATTACGATCAAAAATATCGTAGACTTGTCGATGCGGCTTGAGACACTTACTACTTTTTCGGTAGCCAATTGAAGTTCGACCTGAAATGACCCTTACGTTGTTTTGAAATGGGCAATTGATATAACAAAGCATAGTAATAAAACGTGTTACGTTGCTGCTCGTTAGCATAACCATACGCACTTTGCGCGGGTTGGAGGACTGGAGGATTACTCTATAGTCAACGCTCCTATATTTCGCCCTCACAGAAATCTATTTCTCTAGCACCCGCACGAAAACGCTTGCACTAGTCTCATATATCCTGTCTGTTATCCCGTGTCAGAACTTGCGTGGTCTATCCTGTACATTACAGTAAGAACATTTGAAATACATGCAAGCAACGCAAAGGCATTACAAAAGAAAGCACTTACATTGATAGGATCTTGACCAAGAGACTTGAAGACCTTCATGAGCGACAGAGCCCACAAAGACCCCTGAAAAAAAATCAGAAACCTAGTCGCATACAAACAATCGAAATTCGGATTCATTGGATATGTGAGGTTTAACGTCCCAAAACCACCATATGATTATGAGAGACGCCGTAGTGGAGGGCTCCGGAAATTTGGACCACCTGGGGTTCTTTAACGTGCACCCAAATCTGAGCACACGGGCCTACAACATTTCCGCCTCCATCGGAAATGCAGCCGCCACAGCCAGGATTTGAACCCGCGACCTGCGGGTCAGCAGCCGAGTACCTTAGCCACTAGACCACCGCGGCGGGGCAATCGAAATTCGGAGTCCCTCCGAACTGCGCAACTATCGTCGAAGCCGAGTAAAATGTTTAGTGTGGGAAAAAAATATATGATATCGTCAACAAGCTCTAAACCCGCAGACCCAGTTTCGAAGTGTTATGGGTAGAAGCTTAGCGATTTCAAATGCATGAACCTATAGTAAGCTACAATCTACGGATAAATGCACCCTCCACCCACATCCGCCGCTGTTCGAACCAGAGAGAATCTGCGTAGATATCTCATCCAATTACGTTTGCTCATTTTCGTGACGTCACACGTCTCTCGCGTACTTCAGATAAGCGGTTCTAGGATTAGGATTTCGTAGGTAGACGACGGTTGGTCGATTTTCTCATACAGAAACTTGTTCGTTTTGCCAGTTTACAGTCCAGACCTTTCAGGTCAAATTCAGCGAAGATTCCGACATCACAGCTCAGGGAAGCATAGGATTTTAATAGGATACGGCGAACCTTTATTATTATTGATACGCGGTAGTATTTACGTCAGCAGCGAAGAGATGCTTTCGGCTATCTCGGGCTTTTTGATCAGGCGCGCCGCAGTTTTTGGGGTGGAGCCTGCGTTGACGCGTGGGTTTCTAAGTTACTGTAGTGATCTTGTATTAGTGAGAGGTTCGTGCTTACACAGTTGATGGAAGGAGGCAGCAGCGAAGCAGAGATGGCCACTCCCACGAGACAGGCCGAGTTGCCACCCAGAATAGCCATGGCTACGCCGGCGCCAGAGGGCAGCGCTACCAGAGCGCCTACCCACAAGCTGCGCCACTGACCCCTGAAATTGTCCGACGTAAGGCATTCACTAGAAGTGTCATACTCAGCTTCGGCAAGGCCGTGTTCTTGACACTTCGCATGATAGTAACCCAGAGGAAAGATCACGTGAAGAAAACAAAATTTCGATTCGTACGCTAACACAGTGCCCTATACAGCGGCTGAAGCAGACATGCAGTTCGGATGGTAGTTCAATCATCCGCATAATTTGGTTACCAGGATATAAACATTTAGTATTGAAGCGTATATTGCAAGACTTCCATTGGCCGATACTAATCTACAATTATATACCATGTGCGCTAGCAAATTATGGCCAGCCTTCAGACATGAAACCAATTACATCAATCAGCAAGCCCATATTGTACCAAATTACAGTCATGTCATATCAAGGTGACGTCCAATTCTCACGACTGAGTCATTTGCTCATGACTAGTTCTTACTTTGTGAATGGCCTAAACAAATTAACTGCAGCAGAAACTTCGTTATAAATTTCCGAAATTGTTCCCAAGTCCCTTATGGTGGTTAGGTAGTCAAATTTGTCAGCTTAGTAGTATGCATTATGCGCACGGTACCAATACAGATGTTATAAGCTACGGTGGGCGAAACTAGAAGACGTGTCATTGTAATCATCTTATCCCGTTCAAGTGACCGACAGATTAGTCTCGACGTAGCTGTAAAAGTTTATCTGAAACCAAGCACATAGTCACGTGTTAGTCAAAGAACACGGGTTCAGCCTGGACAACTTACCTGGCCGTCTGTTCAGAGTTGGGCCACGTGTTGGGTCCCCAGCCTCCTGGCCCCTGAATGTCTCCCCAGTAGGCCATGATGAGACCGAAAAAGAATCCTGCGACATCAGCAGTCATTACTACCACGGTATACGAGTCGCATGTTTATCTCTACGTTGTGGAGATGAAAGTTCGCAAACTTAAGTACAATAACTTATTGCGACCGCAAATTTATGTTTGCCCAAATTCGGTAATTAGCGTAAGAGGAACTTTGAACAGAAATTCAGGGCTAGAACTCTCCGAGTTTGGAAGAGCTGTGCAGAATAGATGCAAGACTGCATGTCGGGTTAACAAGACATGGTGAGGTTCAATGACTACTTATACATTACGCCTAAATACCGCCACGTCCAGTTTATCGGTTTTGTCAAACGATGACACACGCTGTATCTATACAGGCAGCGGCCGTGGCGCCGTGGTGTTAGCTAGTTCCGTAGTCATGTCCGCTTCGTGTACACAGCAAGTAGAGATTAGGGAGTCTACCGCACAACGGTGAAACTGATAAACTTGAATTAGGGTTCGTGAGTGGGGAGCGGCAATATACCTGCGAAACTGCAGGCAGTCATGATAAAACCAGATTTCTCCTCTCTACAAATAAAATAAAAACACAAAGAATTTGTTCCGTAATAGTCTAACCAGCCAATTATTTTGAATTTACCACGGCAGCGAAGACCACTGCGACTGTTACGATAATGTGAACTACAAGTAAAATATGCGTCGTAAACCATGGTGGTAAATATGCGTCGTAAACCATGGCGTAAACCATATATCTAACACCATGGTCGTAAACACCACGATAACTATTGCGTACGAATGACACTCAGGGCTACCAGAAGTATCCAGTTCTTCCCATCAATTTTCTGCATTATACAATTGTCTTCCTTTATTTTATTTTCTGCCTAGCGCCCACTGGGACGGCTATACTTCGTACCGGTTTGCAGCATTTTTTTATTGACACATCGAATCAATCTAAGTCGCAAAGTTCAGGACGAGTAACCAAAAAAAAAAAAAAGCACGACCCTGTTTGTGGTCAATGTCTCACCAAACACGAGGCAGAGGCAAAGCCCGCACAGTTCTGTACGAAGTCCAACTTTGACCAACGACTTGTCCCTGATGATGATTCCAAACGTGATGGCCGCGATGGGACCCTGCGCGTCGAACAGATCAGTGGCTGTTACATAAACTGGCCTCATCTCTGCTGGAAAGGTGAGTATATATAGTGAAGTGAGGCGTAACTTCTCACTGCACTGTGAAGCATCGTGAAGTCAAATACAATGATGACGTCAGCATGACGTCTCCTTCAAGCAGCTGTGTAAACGAAACTTACCATGAGCGGTGAGACAAGCATAGCTGCAATGATGGAGACCACGCTGTTGTCCATCAAACCTAATGCCGCAATCATCCTGCGCCAGAAAATAAAAGAAAAAAAGTTGGATCGTGCAGTTTAAAGAACAATATTTTCCGTGGGTTTTTTTTTTTTTATGAGAAGATGAGGTAAGCTGACATAAAATATTGAGAAGCAGCTCGACTAGCTTCGGTCTCTCAAAAGCACACTTTGCCGCGTTTACAGCAAACTCCGACGCACACAATAAAGATCAAAATGATTTGTACATTTTCGTCCTCGTTCGCTCTATCGGTTACGCCACGGACGCCAATGCTCACCCGGCTAGTATGATGAAAGCTACGTAGTCGAAGTTGAGTTCCCCGTTTGACCGCACCCCTTCGACGACCTGCGGAAGAGAACAAAAGACACCGGTCAGTCGCAGGGGCGAACACTGCTAAGGACACAGCTTTTCATTTCATTTCTTCACTTTTTCGGTCAATACAAAGACATTGATCACGGTACGAGATAAAGGTGGTGGTCTGCCTCCCGACGTGGTCTTGATCGCGCTGGGCGTACCAGCTGCAGTACTTAGCCTTACACAATGGAAATTAAAAAATGCACTAAATTACAGAGAAGTACCAAAGCAGCAGTAAGCTTTTGCACAAAACAATTTACACTATGAAATGATGTTGCAAGGATCAACAAGTACAGTATTTAGTTTATCTTCCGCATTTTGGGAAGCAGTCGGCCAAGGTCCCAGGATCTTCTCTTCTGTAAGCGGCCGTGAATCCAGCTGACAGAGCTTGGCTTCCATAATACGACCGCTTGTGAAAGAACTGTGCGAGACCGTGCTGTGTAGTCTCGAGCTAACTATTCATGCTTCTCTTTCTTACTCCTCTTCTTTTCTCTTTCTTTCCGTTCTATTATTCTCCCCTTCTCCCACCCCAAGTGTAGGGTAACCAACCGAGCCAAGCTTGGTTAACCTCCCTGCCTTTCCTCTCTCTCTCTCTCTCTCGCATTTTGAATAACTCTTACCTGTAAGAGTACAACATAACATAACAATTGCACCTCTCAGAGGACCCGCTCGCGAATATGCTCGAACGGGAGGTAACTTTAAAAAAAATGCACCTAGAAGTAACAAAATCTACTTATAGTATACGACGCACGCCGTGTTGAAGGGATCCGGGAATTTCGACCATCCAGAGTTATCCCTTAATGCCCGCTCGCATACCACAGTACACGGGTTTATGGCCTTTCACCCCCATCGAAACGCCACCATCGCGGCCGGAATCAAACGTGCGATGTTTGTCAGCAGCTGAGCACCGTGTACCACTACACTGTAAACCAAATTACACCCATATAGGTGTTTTATAGTGTCTATAACTCACACCCCTACACCCCACGAAATGGGTGTATCAAGCAGGACTACACCTATACCGTGGGGCGGATTTCCGAATTTACACCCTATGGCACAAACATTTTTTCGGGTGTAAAGACAAATGTACACCCAAGTGGTTTTAAGGAAGTGAGGGTGCAAAAGCGAATGTACACCCAAGTAATCTTAAGGGCGTCAAGGTGTAATATTGCTATGACACCCTAACACCCATAAAAAAAACAAAATTAGTGTAGGGGTGTAATTGCTCAAACAGCAAAAAGGGTGTGGGGGTGTTGATGCTGAATAATGCCCCAACACCCATGCAAAAAATACCATAATTCGAAAGTTACCCCTTTCCAGTAGGCCCCTGTGGAAGCACGTGAAAGCTTACCCTTTAGCTAGACCTTTCATGTGCAGATGTCCTATTGTAGTGGCTCCTGCCAAAGTGTGGTAATCCTGGCCCTAACACAGCTTTTATGGTGCATATATGAAGCACGGCATATAAGGCTCTCACATATAACACGTAATCCTAGCTAAATGCAAAGGCATCACTCAAAATGAGCTGCCACACATAACACAACGTTCACAAAGTCATGCCATTGTGCAAAACAAAATCAAGCTTTATTTTATTAGGCACAGAGACCATACAGGATCCAGAGACAAATTGTACCTTAATCAAAAGCCTTTTTCAATTGTGCAGAGCAGAATGCCATTCGCTACAAAAGAAGACCGGAAATCAGACGTCAATGGTACGGCATGGAGCTCTAACGACCAATGCATGCAAATCAAAGTACAACAAAAAAGCCTTTATTTGCACCTAAAAATGAAAAACTAATTTTAACATGCTTCAATGCAGCACAAAAGCACAGTGCAGTGAAGCATACAAACAGCAGGAAGAGTAGTGCAATGCAGCATGCCTTATTTCTCCAATATACTGAAATAATATATCAATGCACATATTACCACATTGATCACTACACTTACCACATTGATACGCCACAGTTTGCATGTGTTGTGGCATGCCTTATGCATATTATGCAAGGCTAGTGGTATTCTAATGAATGTAATGACAAAACAGTCTTAAAATGGTATTTTCATTTCACAATAACCCTTGTGTGTTCAGACATTCAGAATACTGGAGAAACAATAATACAGGAGTGAAAACAATAGGCAAAGTTACAATAGCTGAACAGTGTCACTAGATACTAACCACGCAGAATAATTGATTTAAAGATGTAAAATATCCAGCGCATCACATATGTCCCCCTGAAACAATGCAACATCAAAGAACATAAAATGGACACACAAAAGCAGGGTCAAAGATTAACCACTTACAGCTAGCAGAGGTGGAGCAGCCAAGCTATCATCTGGAGCAATATTTTGGAGCATCATATCTTGCTTTTCCAGGGAGAAAATTTAAATTTGGAGCAGGTTTCAGGAAAAACAAACACAGCATTTTTGAGCTTGAAATTTCAAATTTACAGCATTGATTGATATGTGCAGTTTAACGTCCCCAAACCACCATATGGTTATGAGAAACGATGTAGTGGAGGGCTCCGGAAATTTTAAACACCTGGGGTTTTTTAACGTGCACCCAAATCTGAGCACACGGGCCCTACAGCGTTTCTGCCTCCATCAGAAGTGCAGACACCACAGCCATGATTCGATCCCACGACCTGGGGGTCAGCAGCCGAGTACCATAACCCCTAGACCACCGCGGTGGGGCTCCAAATTTACAGTAGTACAACAAATTAGACTGAATCACACACAAAAAATATATGTAGAAATTATTTGACATACGCTAATTCATTCAAAATACACAAGAGCGCAGCTATTTCAACAAAAGCACTCTTGAACTGTCTCACAGTGCAAACAATGCTATCCTCTCTATATACGAACGCTCGTCGACTCGAATTTCATCCTTCACTTGTACTAGCTGAGCACAGCGTCACCGCTTGTCTAAAAATGACGCTGCGTTTCTTGAGAATCGCAGCAGATCATCCCTGATATTGAGTGACTTGCTCTGCCTAGAGAGTGCGCTGGAATCAATTTCCTCAAGTCAAGGTGAAGCATTTAGTGAAGGGACGTTCTAAAATACGGGTGTAAAACTCACAGGAGCATTTGGCGAGCTTGTCAAACTGTTCGACAGGCGATCCAGAAATTCCAGATATTCGTAAAGAAGGAGCTCAAGGGAGTGGCAAAAAGAAAAAAGTGGCATACGATTTTCTTTATCGTCTTTTAAGGCTGCAAAAACCTCATAAATCACTCTGAAAGACTGCCGGCACTTATACTAGTACTCGTTATTGAATGGCTTCTGCATGGCACAGTAATATAGGGAAAAAATATTTTCTGTCCTGTGACAGCGAGCCACTTCCAAATCAAAAAGCACTTTTCCGCAGAGCGAAAGCGTACCCTGGCAAAAGCGACTTAAAAAGCGTTATGAACGTCATAGAAAGGGGGGGGGGGACTTTCTTTTAAACCGTTCTACTCTTTTCTTTTGCTGTGAGGTTAGAATATAGTCAATTAAAAGTAATAATTACGGTTGGCACATCTGTATTAGATTGGATGATGATGACCCCGCCTCGATGGTTTAGTTGCCAAAGTACTCAGCTGCATTTTTCATGCAGGCGGAAATGCTGTAGGCCCATTTCCTTATATTTGGGTGCACAGGACCCCAGGCGGCCGAAATTTCTGGAGCCCTCTCCTAAAGCGTCTCATAATCAAATGGTGGCTTTAGGACATTAAACTGCACACATAAATCAATTGGATGGTGATGCGCAAACTTAAGTTGAATAATGGATTTTATGTTTCTTGATAAAATTAAGAATACTGAAAAATAATTGAGGCTGGTTGGGCAATTCCTAATGGTTTTGTGCAAAATTAGGAAATTGTATCCAATTGACACAATCGGCACGGCTGCTTACCTCTTGAACATGCAAATATGAATACGAAAATATAATGTATATTGTGCTACAGACATTAAACATGTGCTGTAAATAGACATAAATGCCTGAATTGAATAGTCAATTTCACGTCGAAACCACGACCGCACAAAGAAAACACATGGACAGGAGGGGTACTCACTAGCAGCTGTTTGTACCATATATTCATAATATACCATACATTCATACGTACAACCTTAAAAAGGTGGCGAGTCGGCATGAAGTACTGATGGTGTTCGTGCCCCTAACAAACTAGCAAAATTGCGCCGGTGCATCGCTGAAAATCATGCTGAGCAGCTGAAAGGCTGTAAAAAGAAGCATGCGTGGCCATTCACGAAGTCTGCCACTGAAGTGGTTTACAAAATACCCCTATTGTGCAGAAAGAGACATGTTAGCCAGACGACGAGGCGCTGCGTCAATGATCGAGCGAGGGAACACGCCCTTAAGGCAAAGAATAACGACGGTGGCCGTTCAAGAGCGCATGTCACTTCATGTGGATTCACACCAAGAGCCATTTCGATGGGCTTTCACAAAGAAAAAGGGGTATCAATTGCGTTAGAAAAACTTCACTCATCATGTATGAGCTGGAAGCACGGTATCTAGCGATTATGTGTCCTATAGCGTGATTAGGTAAGGGATGGCCCGAGTAGGTTGCACAAGCGTTGACAAAAAGTGGGTTTATACCAGCCTGTTTCCTCAAGAAATCAACAACTGCAAATGAGTGCCCATTTCGTTTATGTTTTCTTTATTTGTGTGGTCGTCATTTTGGTGCAAAATTGAGTAATACTTAATGCAAACATGCACCAACTATCCCAACAACGAGTTCTACTATATAATAATGCTGCTGCTGCACATGTAAACAACAATAGCACGTGCAGTTGCCTTAGAACTGTGAAAAAAAGCAGCACTATACAGTGCCTCAGAGGAGGCACTTTCAGCATATTTTTCGGTAAAGAAAGGGCTTAATAAGCATAGGACCTTTTTCTGGGTTCATGACACGCTGTTAGGGTGATTTCATGCTAAACGCCCAGCCATTTTGGCGACCATCTCAAATGCATTCGAAAAATATTGTGCTGAATAACTGTATTGAAAGCAGTGAAACGGTAGGATATTTCGGAGAGAAAAAATGTTTGG